GAGAGACACAGTGGATAAGAGGAGAGAGATGCAGACGTGGACTTTCAAAACACACACAGCAACAGGACTTCAGTCCTCTAAGCCAGTGTCCAGTGTCTCAGGGAACCATTTCTAAAGGTCATCACCTCCCCCCATGACTCCAATGTCTAGTCCTACTTGGTCAACAAGCACTTGGCCTAATTAATGGGCCCTCTGGGAAGGTGGCATAGATGCCTAGACCCTTCCGTCTCCTACCCTGAGATCTGAAAACTACCCAGGATGCTCTTCTTTAGCTGTCCAACCTAAATCTTTTCTGCGCTTGCCCAGATTCCAATAACAGGAAACAAATCCCATGAAAGGTGTGGGCATGCATGAAGTGAAGAGGGTCCCCTACAGCATGGGAGGTGGGGTGGGACTGGCGTTACACCCACTCACCCTTCTGTTGTAGTGCCAGCTGGCGCTTTGTCTCAATGTCCTGCAGTGTGGCTGCCAGGTTGCGAGGAAGGCTGCCCGTGCCATTCTGGGTGAGCAAAGTGCTCTGCAGGGGGAATGGAACACTGGAATCTGGGCTCAGCAGACCCCACCCCACCGTAAGGCCTGCATGGATGGACTTAGCCTCTGCAGAGCATGCCTGTCTCCATCCCACCACCACATGATGTCCTCAGACCTTTGGCGATGGGCTACGGCCCAGCGTAGCCACGCTGAGCTGGGAAGAAGAAGAGGAGGAGCCTGAAGAGGAGGGAAGGGGGCCACTGCGGGTTCTGGGCAGAGGGCTGGTAGCCTCACCATCCATCTTGGAGCGGTAAACCTGGAGAAAAGAGATGATACCCACTGATCCCCCAGCTCCCCTTTGTCTGCCACCCCATGTCACCTAAGCCAGCTATGAGGTACTGCCTTGGCACAGGGCCTCTGAGGCCTTCTGGCTCCAGCTGACAACAGGGTTGAACCTCCTGAGCCAGCCCAGTGCGCAGATGCCATTGGCAGCTGCCAAGCCTCCTTTCCTCTCTGAGCCAATCCCTGATCGAACCCTGGGCCTAAGAAAGGACCTATAAACTGACCCATGCAAGGAGTTAGTGTGAGCTGGGAAGAGCTGTGCAGGAGACCAAGTAGAAGCCAGGCTTCTAGTCCACACAGCTCTGCTACTCACAGGCTGTGTGGCTCTGAGCCACACACCTCCCCAACCTGGGCCTGGGCTTTCCCATCTACAAAGGAAGAGGCAGAATTAGACTAAGTAACTGCCAAGCTCCCTTGCAGTGCTAACACAGTGACTCTGGTCTTTGGAGTCAGGAGCTCTGACACAAGCCCTGCTGCTTCCTCGATGTGCAGCTTGGAAGAGATTATTTTTCCCATGTCCCAGCCTTTGATCTACAAACTGAGAGCTAACATCATCTACCTCAAAGGCCTGTGGAGAGGGTTAAATGCATCAAAACTTGTCCAAGTTTCTAGCCAGCTGGGCATCCAGTAGAGGTGCCACGTGTGTTATATGAATCAAACTCCTCCCAGAAGGAACACAGAATGTTAGCTGAGGTCACAGCCTCAGAGGTGCAGTGCGTTCACGGAAGAATGAGTTTTGAATGGTGGAATCTTACATGCTATGGCAGGTTGGTGCAGCAAGATTTATCAGAAGACTATCCAAGCACCCTTGCCACCTATCAGCATATTGCTTGGAGGCTCGGGTATGCCCATGGTGACATGGCTAACACTCCAGTGCTGTTACTTTAGAGAACTTGTCCCTTTCTTTTCTGCTTCCAAGTGTTATCCCTCGAAGACCAGAAGAACAAAATACTAGCAGCTTTTCTAGGACATACTAGTTCTTCCTACAATGGCTCATGTGTGTCAAGTCCCCAGAGTGAGAAGCTCTACAGAGAACTCCCTTCCATTCATCAGTCAATCCTGTCCCCTTTGGACTCAGGAGCCTGGCCTCCAGCTGCCCAAAGTACCAGCATGGCAAGATGGCTGCCCAGGACCACCCTTGTTGCGCTCTCAGGGCCCAGAGGACCCTCCTTGCCCTGCTGGGCTAACCCAAGGTACACTGTGTGGCTGAGGGATCAGCAGCAGGTGCTCAGAGCAGAGAGGAGCAAGACCTGGGGAAGCAAGGCAGTGAGGGGTTACCTGCAGCTGACGGGAAGTTTTGGCAGGCAGAGGCGGGGGGGAGGAGCAAGGGGAGGCTGTAGCAAGGCCAGTCCCCAGCCCGGCCATCAGCTCCTGGTACCACTGCTCTAAGTCTACAGCAGGGAGCAGCAGCTTCTCCATCTGGAGGGGTAAGGGGAGGGCAAGGATGGAGAGGAAAGGCCAAGACAGGAGGGAAGAGGAGAGGGAAGGAGGGAGGCAAAGAGAGACGGAGGAAGGAAGGAAGGAAGGAAGGAAGGAAGGAAGGAGGACAGGAGGAGGGAAGGAAGGAGGGGGGAAGGAGGGAGGGAGGAAGGAAGGAGGAAGGAAGGAAGGAGGGGGGGAGGAAGGAGGAAAAAAGGAAGGAAGGAGGAAGGAAGGAAGGAAGGAAGGAGGAACGAAGGAAGGAAGGAAGGAGGAAGGAAGGAAGGAGGAAGGAGGAAGGAAGGAAGGAGGAAGGAAGGAAGGAAGGAAGGAAGGAGGAACGAAGGAAGGAAGGAAGGAGGGAGGAAGGAAGGAGGAAGGAAGGAAGGAGGAAGGAGGAAGGAAGGAGAAAGAGGAAGGAGGAGGGAGGAAGGGAGGAAGGAGGAAGGAAGGAGGAGGGAGGAAGGAGGAAGGAGGAAGGAAGGAGGAAGAAGGGAGGAAGGAAGGAAGAAGGAGGAAGGAGGAAGGAGGGAGGAAGGGAGGAGGAAGGAAGGAAGGAGGAAGGAAGGAGGAAGGAAGGAAGGAAGGAAGGAAGGAGGAAGGAGGGAGGAAGGAAGGAGGAAGGGAGGAAGGAAGGAGGAAGGAGGAAGGAAGAGCATAAGGAGAAGGAAGAGAAAAATAGTGAGACAACAGTTGTGCTGATTGTTCTAAGAGCAAAGAGAAATAGTCAGGTTACAAGTCCTAGAGCACATACTTATGCTGTGCCAGCCAGCCAGCCAGCCAACCAGCGCCTGCAGGCACCAAGTACCGCCCTAGACCCTCAGCTGACCACAGAGGCCAGTGAGTAGGGGCAAACACAAACAGCCACACCAGTCATTGGGTGGGTTTGACAAGGACACACAGACCACCAACCTTAGGTGAAGGCGTGATGGAAGCGAAGGAGGAAGAGAGCAGCATGGAAGGAAGACAGGTGGTGGGAACCAGGTCCCGGGAGGCAGAAGCCCAGGGAGGCAGGCCTGGTGCAGGGGTCGGGGGCATGGGCGAAGTGCCCCACATCACTTTTAGCTGCTCAAGCGTCACATACTTGAGGGAAGGCCAGCCACAGGAGGGAATACAAGAGGTTAATGGAAGTAGAACCCAAGAGATGGCCCTTCCAACAGGGGAGGGGAAGGGGGGAAGCATAGTTGGACACCAGCCCCAGGAGAGAGCCAGCATCCTCTCAACAAGATACCCTCCCTGGAAAGCAGGAGGCAAGGCCTGTCCCTTCCAGACCATCAGGTTCTGAGAACAGCTCCCAAAGTCCTATGGAAGAAAGTGAACCATGTCCAACCCCTTGTGCCAACTTGAAGACCCTTCTGCCCCTAGCCCCAACCCAGGCTGAGGGGAAATGGAGGCTCTTGGGCATAGGTAGGCAAACTCTGTGGCTAGTACCTCACTGTCAGGCAGGGACTGGGGGAGCCTGCCAGGGCAGATGGCAGAAGCATAGGGGTCCAAGCAAGAACACAGCTGGAGAACCTCAGTCAGACTCACATACTCCTATGGTGCCCAGGGCAGGGGACAGAGAAGAGGTTAAGGGGGTTCAACCAAGTACTCAATACTCCACACTCCATGCCAAGCCTAGAGCCATCACTCCATGTCAACGCAGAATCCAGAGTGGGGTGAGGCATTCAGTAGTTCACAATGGCTGTGGGGGAAGAGGGACCTAAAAAGGGTAGGTGGAACTGACCTCTACTTTGGGGACCACCATGGCATTCAGATGCTGCATCAAGGAGAAGCTACATGCCTATCTGTGGGTTGGCCCTAGGTTGAGAGCAGGTGAAGCAGCCCAGAGAAGGCCTTCCAGGAGCCCAGTGAAGAGAAGGACCCAGTTCCTAGAACCTCATCTGTCTCCATCACATTGGACATCCCCTACTGGGCACACATGCAACACTAAACACCAGTCACACCATTGCTCAGGAAGGGAACCAGTCCCCAGGAACATTCACTGGGAACGGGAGCTGGTAACTGGTAGGGGAAAATGGAGCTAGCCCTAGGCCTGAGCAAGACAAGCTACAAGGAAGAGGCCTGGTCTTAGTAGGGAGCAACTTTTGTCCTCACAGATAAATGGGCCTCACTGCCCAGGACAAGTTACTCAGAAAGATGCCATCCCACTCGATGGCAGGTTGGGAGGACAGGGACCATGCAAGATATTTCATCATATAGTTTTAGGCCCTGAGCTTATCTGGGTGCTAGACACCCATAATTAGCTGCATCAAAGCACAGGATCCTGAGCGTGTGTATCTCAGGGCATCCACCCTAGCCCCAGAGCCAGACTGTCCTCTGGGGGGTCATAAAAAAGGAAGATGAGCCAGAGAGTTCAGTGTGTTGTGAACAACAGAGAATGGCATGTAGATTGCATGCAAATTAAAATGCAAATTAATGCTCTCACTTTGCATGGACCGCCCAGGCACTCTACGGATGGCATGCTGGCACACTCACACAAACTCTCAAATTGCCAGTGAAAGGATGTGTCACATGCCCTTCAGCCCTCCCTGGGAGGGCCTGGAGCTAGGTGTTTGGCAGGCAGGCAGAGAGGCAGCGGGCAGAGCAGAGCATGTCGTGAGTTGGGATTACCTCTTCAGCTTTGGAGCCAAGTGGAGCGGAAGCAGGTGGGGTTAAGGGGACAGAGGAACCCCCAGCCTGAGAAGACTTTGGGAATGGGCCCAGAGCCTTGGTCTCCAGCCCTATCTCTGAAGACTCAGAGATGAGCAGCTGAGCCTACAGAGACGGCACATGGTGAACAGAGCCCCATCCCTCATGCTCAGCTCAGCCACCCTGCCCCAGGCCTAAACTGCTTGAGCAGTGAGACAGGGAAGAGGAAAGGTCACAAAACCAGGCATGTCCTGGTTGGACCTTCCACACCAGATGTAAAGACTAGGGAAAGAACAGTTCAAAGGGCCTCAAGGCCCACCTCCAAGCTGAAAGCCTACTTCCACACTGAAGCCCACTGAAGTCCCTGGATTAAGGACTCCTAGATCCCTATATTCCTTCAAGTAAGTACACCCAGCCTTCACCAAACCTCTGATTTGTCCACTCAGGGCCTATAAGCACCTCACAAATGCTCAGCCACCCAAAAAAGAGAGATCAATAAGAACCCAAAAGGCAACTGAGAAGCTGGTGGTCATGGAGGGTCACAGGTCAGCCCCAGGACCATCTTCTACAAATCTCTCCAGGTCATTAAGTGCTCCATACTCAACCTCAGCCACTAGAATGAAGGTGGCACATGCTGCTCCAGAGCCTCCCAGGATCCCCTTGAGACTAAAGCTGGGGTCGATCCAGCCGTGTTACCTCTTTGAGGGTTGAGGTGGTCTTCGGAAAAGGCCTGCCTCCCGTGAGTGAGTGGTATCTCCTTTCCAGGACAATCAGCTTCTCTTTCTCCTGTGAGCCCAGAGCAGCAGGGTCAGGGATAGGGGGAGCAAGAGGGAAGTAGGAACCTTGTGAGGGTCCCATGTGCTATGACTACACCCCAACTTTCTGTACTTGCCTCCCCTCACCCACCCCCAGTCCCAAGACCTAAGGACAGCTACCTTCTGCAGCAGCTGCAGGGCAGCATTCTTGTCACGGGCCAGACGCTCTGACTCCTGCACTGCCTGGGCCCGGATCTGCCCAGCCTGACTGTCCAGGACAGCTAGGCGCTCCTGAGGAAATGGGATACAATTAGGCCCTGGAGGGACATGGCTGAGCCCAAAGTGAAACTTGGTTGACTCTCTTGTCCAAAGACCCAGGGCTCAGTGCAGGGAACCAACACACCTTCCTGCTGAGCCTCAACCCACCTAGGAGAACTGTGACTACCAGAATCAGCTCCTTCCCTCAGTCCTCCCTTCCTCCCTTACCCTTGTGCCACCAGGCGTGCTAACCAGAACCCAAATCCCCAAATGTCTATTCCCTCACTCCACAGCTAATGGCTCCCAAAACCTGGTGATACTGAACAGTTCTCCATCTGCCCATCCCCCACTGCCATCATCAGAATCCAGGCCCTGCACTTCCAGCTGGGCTTCTCCTGCTGTCTTTCTCACAATGTTCTGACAGTCCACGTAGCCTCAAAATATCTTACTAAAATACCCTTGTAGTCTTGTTTATCTGAATTTCCTAACCCATCTAAAAACAATACTACATTATTGAGTAATTTTGTTTTGTTTTATTTGGTCTTGCTATATAATCTAAACTGGCTTTAAACTAACTATGTAGCCCAGGCCAGCCTAAACTCATTTTGTAGTCCAGGCAGGTCTTGAACTCATGGCAATCCTCCTGCCTCAACCTCTTGAGTTCTGGGATCACGGGGTGAGTCATCTTGTCCCATTTTTTAAAAAATATTCTATTATTTTTATTTTATGTGTATGTGTATATTGCCTGCATGTTGGTAAGTGCACCCATGTCATGCAGTGCCCACGGAGAACAGAAGAGGCTGTCGGATCCCCTGGAACTGGAGTTATGGACAGTTGTTAACTGCCGTGTGGGTGCTGGGATTTGAACCTGGGTCTTCTGTAAGAACAGTCAGTGTTCTTAACTGCTGAGCCATCTCTCCAGCCCTTGTTTGTTTTTAAGATGAGGTCTCATTATGGTCCTCAGGCTGAACTTGAACTCCTGGGCCCAAGCAATCCATCTCAGTCACCAGAGAGGCTGGGCCACATCCTTAGAACCTGAGTATGCATATCATACTGGTTCTTCAGTAACTTAAAAAAATCCAACAAGGGCTGGAGAGATGGCTCAGCAGTTAAGAGCACTGGCTGCTCTTGCAGAGGACCTGGGTTCAGTTCTCAGCACCTACTTGGCAGCTAACAACTGTCTGAAAACGCCAGTTCCAGGGGATTTGATGCCCTCTTCTGGCCTCTGTGGGCATTGTACAACATGGTGCACCTACACACAGACAAAGCATTCATACACATAAAATAAAATAAAATAAAATAATTTAAAAAAAATACGTGGTAGTGGTGGTGGGGCTGGAGAGATGGCTCAGCGGTTAAGAGCACTGACTGCTCTTGTAGAGGACCCAGGTTCGATTCTCAGCACCCACACGGTGACTATGAACCATCCTTAACTCTAGTTCTAAGGGATCTGAAGCCCTCTTCTGACCTCCTCGTCATTGCACAACACAGGTGCACTCACTTACATGCAAGCAATACACTCATACACATAAAATAAAAAATAAAAAAAATAAAAAAATACGTGGTGGCGCATGAGGCAGGCAGATCTTTGTGAGGTTGAGGCCAGCCTGGTCTACATAGTGAGTTCCAGGACAGCTGGGGCTAGAGGGAGAGCCTGTCTCAGAAAGATAAAATAAATTAAAAAAAAAAAAAAAACTTAGAACAAGCAAGGCCAGATCACCCCTCCACAAAATCTTTCAGGATAGAACACAAACTCCTTACCTAGCACTTAAAGGCTGGCAGAACTGGACCCTTGTGTGCTTAGCCCCCCATACTCTCTGGCTCCACCATGTTGTACTCTCATCGGTGCCACTTGGATTTTCAGCCTTCTCTTCTGCTGCCCCCTTGGGCCATCTCAGTCTTCTCTGCCATCCCAAGTCACATCCTTCAAGACTGAATGCCACCTCCTCTCCAAAGCCTCTTGATTGTCATTTCATTTCCTTGCTCCCTTCTTTGTGTTTGAATTATTCCTTATCACCATATACCTTGTCTTATCTGTGATTTATCTGTCTCCACCATCAACACCCCACCCTGACTATAAGATTCAGGAGCAGGACCAGTATCATTTCGGTCTCCACAACCCCAACAGTGCCTGGCTTAACAATCATGTGCTAAAAGAAAATGAAAATGTATTAAGTGAGGGGAAAGAATGAGGGCTAGGCAAAATAGGCTGGACTAATCTCAAAAGGGTTTCCTGAAAGAGGTGGTCTTAAACAACCACTCTTAGGAGCAACAGATGGGAAAAGAAGACATGAAGAAGGGAGCTGTGGGGGCTGGAGACATGGCTCAGTGGTTAAGAGCACTCACTGACTGCTCTTCCAGAGGACCCAGGTTCAGTTCTCAGCACCCACACAGCAGCTAACAGCTGTGTTTAACTCCAGTTCCAGGGGATCTGACACCCTCTTCTGACCTCTAGAGGTACACATGATGCACTTACATGCAAGCAAAACATTCACACACATCATAACAAACATAACATAGTATACATAACATAACATAACAACATAAAAGAGCTGTCCTAAACTTGGAGTCAGCCGACACAAAGATTGAAACAGTAGACAGGAATCCTCACAGCAACAGCTGCCACTGATTTAGACCTATGAGGAGCTGGGAATGTTGCTAAATGCTTTTTTTTGGGTCTTTTTAAGACAGGGTCTCCCTGTAGCTCCAGCTGTCCTGGAACTCAGTCTACCTCCTGAGTGCTGGGATTAAAGGCATGCGCCACCACGCCCACATAGATGCATTCATAAGGTAGTGAGGGAAGCAAGGGTTCTGGACTTGATATTCAGCAGCTCCCCACTTATCACCAAACCCAGCAAGCCCCCATCATACCACTTCTCAGCTCCAGTCCCTGTATCTTTCTGTCCTCACCTTCCATACTCTAGCAAGACAAACTGCAAATGTACACATGTGGGATGTATGACACAGGCAGCAGCCATAAACACAGGAGCCACTTAAGCCATTCCCACCAACCCTCTCCTGCTTGTTCCTAACATTTGCACACCTGTCCCACTCCTCTGTCACTCTCTGTGCCTGGTCTGGCTGAGGATCAGAACTTTACTGCATCAGAGTTGGTCAGAGACAATACTTAATCCTCTCGCTTTACAGTAAAGCTCAGTCATGCAGGGGTTGGACCAAAGCAGGAAACCAGGTGGATGCCCTTCCAGTGTTAACTGACTAGGCTAACATCCAAATTTTGGGTCTCTGTGTGTATCTTGGCACTTTCAACAGACACCTTTACAAGGCTGAAGGTATAGATTAGTGGCAGAACATGTGCTTGACATGCAGATGGCCCTGGGTTCAAGTTCAAAACCAAAAGAAAAAAAAATTAAGGACAGTAACATGTCACCTCAACAGCAGTTGCTTCCTCTTCCTATGGCTTTCTGTTCCTTGCCCAGATAAGTGCCAGCTCCCTATGTGACCCAATTCCACTTTCTCCTGGGAGACTGAAGGGAGCCAGGCTTTAAGGATACTAGCTAGCTTTTGCAGAGGCCTGTCCATCATCATACCCTATTCTGCCTTTGTTTGCCCTAGCCTGTTACAGTTCTTGTTTTGCTGGCAATCATAAGGAAACTGAGACACAAAGCAGTCTTGTGCCATTAACTTTTATAGTCACCTACTGTGACTCAACTCCAGGTCAGTGGCCTGCATCCCACACCAGTGCTGTGCGGGAGTGGGGGCAAAGCACACCTTCCTCTTGGCTACGCTGCGCAGCAGCTCGGCCTTGCTCCGCAGCAGCCCCTGGCCTGCCAGCTCCCGCTCCTCCTCCACGCGGCTCTCCCGCTCCAGCTGCTGGAACTCCAGGTCCTCAAAGAGTTTTGTCTCAGTCTCCAGAGCATCTGCCTCCTTCAAAGACAATGACACCAGGGGTTGGGTAATGCTCTCAAAGCCACTCTGGGCCCTGAAGGCCAGGCCACAGAGACATGAGTTGTGGGGCTCAACCCAGGGAAACAGGGGAAGGACTCTGCCCCACCGCCCAACTCCCCCTGCTCTGCCTGGAGGCGCCCTTTCCGCGGGCATCACGTCCTGGGAGCGCTGATGCCCACGCAACCTTGCCAGTCCCCTCCAAGCCATAGCACCGACCCTGGTGTCCGGCAGGTACTGCAGGGCCAGGTGGTCCCGTCCCACCGCTCTCCTGTCTTCGTTCTGGGCGGTGGCCCGCAGGGGACAGGGCAGGGGGATGGTGGAACTGACCCTTCTCAGCTGCTCCTGTAACTGTTCCCGCACTGACTCGGGGCAGTTATCGAGCTGCGTCTGGAGCTCGGCGTAGAGCGCCTGGCGGGCCTCCAGGTGCCTCCGTCCCGCGGCCAGCTCCGCCCTCTCCTGGTCGGCGGGAGGGGAGGGAGGCGGGGCACAGGGGAGAGAGAACACACACTCCTCAACTCCGGCCCGGCGCGGGG